AAAGGTCATTTTGGGGGGTCTACCACCCTCAAATCCACGAGAAATCCCATTTGAAACCTGACTGTGAAAGTACCAGTGGTTTAGGGTTTAAAAAATGGCTCAAATGGCAGGTGACAGGTAACATTTACCCTCCAACAAAGCCAGGCCGTAAAATCCTTGTTATGATTCTGCCTGGGAGGGAGAATCTCAAATAAAAAGTGTTTCCTGGGCAATAACAAACCTTTCTTTCCCCAAACGAGATCTCCTGCCAGGCTGAGGGTTTCTCTGAGGCCTAAACTGGCGAGTTTAAATAACATTTTACCTTGGGAGAGGAGGCAAACGAACAGCAGTGCATTGCCAGGAGGGAAAAGGGGTGGAGAACTGGGGAAGGAGAAAAAAAAGAGGAGTAAGAGATTCATTTCTTTTTAACATGCTGATGATCTGCATTAAAAAATTATGAGGAAGATTAGAGGAACAGTTTGGAAGGTTTAAGCCTTAAGCATCTCAAGAGGATTAGATGGAAGTAGGAAGAGTTAAGGAAGAGGGAAGCATATGGTGAAACCAGGAGTGGTGGCTCAAAGCAGCTCCAAAATGCCCCCCAAGTTTGGTTTGCTCTGAAGGATCCGATTGTTGTGCCCCAGCGTTTCCTTGGCTGCCAGGTCATTCCTGTTATCCCTGGGCTGGGCTTGGGGGGGTTTCCAGTCCCTTCTCCTGGGCCTGAGGGCTGGGGATGGAGCTCGGGATGGCATTTGCAGCTCAGCAATGTCTGTGCTGTCCCACAGGTTAAGGAGGAGCTTTTGGGGCATTTCAGAGCATGGGAGGTGGGATGTGCCCACTCCTGGGTTTGGGAATTGTGCCCTCTCCTGGGTTTGGGAATTGTGCCCTCTCATGGGTTTGGGAATTGTGCCCTCTCCTGGGTTTGGGAATTGTGCCCTCTCCTGGGTTTGGGAATTGTGCCCCCTTCATTCACAGCCACCGTTTTGGTGTAAATTATCTGATTCAGGCCCATCAAATCTGTTCAATCCCATTCATGCCACTCCTTTATTGGGTTTTTTCCAGGAGGTGATTGACTTCTTGTTCCCCATTTCTTTGTTTCCAGCCTTTCCCTTTTGTAATCCAGGATTCCCTTCAAGATCTGGCTCTTCCTTGGGTCGCTTCCCCCTCTCCCCAGTGTTGGTGTCCAACCTGGAGCCCGGTTTGATGGGAACAGGTTGTTTGCTCCCTCCCTGCAGCCCCTTCTGCTCCTCCCTGTTAATAATTAGGCAGCTTTGGGCAACCTCTGAGCCCCCGGGAGTGACTGGCACCTGCCTTTCACCCAGAGCAGGTGCAGGGCCTGGGAATGCTGCATGTCCCTGGAATTCCGGGCAGGAGAGTGGTTGCTGTTTAGTGTGCACAGTCAGTCTGAAAACTTGTTTGATGCATCCCCTGCTTTAACAGCACCGCTTTGCCCTCTCTCAGTTCACTTGCCCTTTCCCCCCTTGTTCTTCATGGATTCCCACCTTCCACTGCCCTTTCCAAGGCTTTGAAGAATTCAGGAAGATAATGCTCCTTTCCTGTGCTTCCTTGTTTTATTGCTCCAATTATCTCTGTCCTGCTCCTCTCTCCCTGCTCTTCTTGGGTCGTCTTTGATGCCTTGCTGGTCCGAGGAGCAACCACTCCGTTTTTGAAACACTTAATTAAAAATCTACTTCCTTTACAGACTTCTCCAAGTTGTGTTTGCTGAATAAAACTCCCTGAAAAGTGGATACCCCTGGAAATTTCTGCGGGGAACTGCTGGTTTCTTACAGGGGAGTTGGTTTGCCTCGAGGAGTAGAAAATGAGGCTGTTTAGCAAAAGTAATTCTTAGGTCGTTGTGAGGTAATTTCGAGGTCTCTTCAGGATTATTTGTGGAGCTGATGTTCCCCACCTCTCTGAGGTCAAGTCTCTGCTCTCCCGGGGTGGTTTTACTGTGGATTCCAACAGCGAGTGAAGTTTTGAGCTGTAAAGTCAGGAGATAATTGGGAGGACAAGGTGACAAGGGAACATTTCCTGTGCTTCCCTAAGGGCTGCTCTGGTCCTTGGATGAAATGTCCTCCTCTGGAAGTGGTTGTGGATGGGGTGAGAATGACTCTGTTTTAGCTGTAATGCCAACTGTGCCCAGGAGAAGTGTTTGTTGTTTAAATCGGGGCTGTTGTGGGCTCGCAGGGGGCACAGGATAATATTTGGTGTTTTGTTGATATTTCTGCCGCTCCTTCTGGCCAGAGATAGTTGTGAGCTCCGGATTATTTACCAGCTGTCTGGGAGGAGGTGAGAACTGGGGGAATATCGAGTGTTCATGAGCAAACAAACCCTCCAGCTCAGCTGTGGTTCCTCTCAAACACCCCGACTGCTGGGCCGGGCCGAGCAGTGATTCAGCATCTGAAGGAGGAGCAGCAAAGGCAGCTTTTCAGGAGATAGTTGTGATTTTTTTGCCGTGTTTCCCCTGTTCCCAAACAAGGCCAGCAGCTCGTTTTTCCTCTCAGGGAATTCTGGCACGAGGCAGTGATGGATATTCCTGTTTGTTCCCTGTGATGTCACTCCCTGACAGGTGTTTGATTGCCTCACGGGGAGCTGCACATCTCCTTTGAACTGTGTTTAACTGCCTCATAAAGCACCTGTGGAAAGCTCTGACAATCCAGGCTGGAAGTGTTTTCCAAACCATAGAAAAGTCTTTAAAATGGGGAACCTTTGGAGCCAGAGTGGGGTGATGTGCTGACATTCCACAATTCCAGCAGCACCTCGTCAGGGTTTCTGTTCCCACCTGCCTGTCCAGGCCGTCTGGGAGGGAAGGATCTGGGATATAAAAGTGGATATTCAATAATCTGGTGTCTCTCAGGCTCAGGCTTTTATTTTGCCTTTAGAAACCTCAAACTTCTTTGCCATGTGTAAGGTGATTGAGGTGCAGCTTAAAATGCCATCAACTGCAGGAATCAGCTGTTCAGGCTTCAGTCTGGGCATCCCATCAGTGCCCATTTCCCTCCCCGGTTGTGATCCATGGCAGAGCCCTGTGGGGTTGGCTGTGGGAATCTGGGGTTGTGGGGTTGGCTGTGGGACATTTAAAAATGTTGGCTTTAAAATTAACTCAGCCTTTTTAAAATCCACCTCTTTAAAATCCGCATTTTTCAAATCTGTTTGTTCTTGGTTTTCATGGGTTTTTTTCCCTTTTTGTGGACCCCCAGGGTGAGGATCAAGTCTCAATTTCTTCTGCTGAGTTGTGGATACTGTTCAGGCTTCAAACTGGCGATGTCAAGGGTACCGAGTCCCCCTCCTCCGGCAGAGATGTCCAGTGGGCCCGTGGCAGAGAGCTGGTGCTACACCCAGGTGAGTGCACACCTGGACAGAGCTTGTGCTACACCCAGGTGAGTGCACACCTGTGCACACCTGTACACACCTGTACAGAGAGCTGGTGCTACACACAGGTGAGTGCACACCTTAGACACCTGTACATACCTGTGCACACCTGTACAGAGAGCCTGTGCTACACCCAGGTGAGTGCACACCTGGACAGAGCCTGTGCTACACCCAGGTGAGCGCACACCTGTGCCCAGGTGTTCCACCTTAGCGGGATTGGAGCCTGTGGGAAGGGATGTGGAGTTCAGAGGTGTCGCCCTGGCTGAGTGTCCTGCTTTGGAGGGGCAGTTACACACTCAGGGCAGTTACACACAGGGCAGTAACACACACACAGGGCAGTTACACACACACAGGGCAGTTACACACACTCAGGGCAGTTACACACACTCAGGGCAGTTACACACACTCAGGGCAGTTACACACACTCAGGGCAGTTACACACACTCAGGGC